GGGGGGTGTCACAGTCCTCCCCTCTTCCTTCTCCCTCCAGCCCATGTTGGGGCCAGATTTGCTCCAGTGTCACCCACATAAGCCAGAGCCATTGCAGCCACCATGCTGCAGCTGAAGTGGAATGGGAACAGCTGGGGGCCCCTTCTGGCAAGGCTTGGGGGAGGGGGCAAAGGGCTGCAGGTTGGGAGTGAGTGGTTCCAGCATGGCCTGGGTGGGCAGGGGGCTGTGGGTCAAGAGTAAGGGGTAGTGCTAGGGGGACTGTGGCTTGGAAGTGAGGGGCACCTAAATAAAGAAGGCCTCTGTTTTGTTTTGTTTTTTATTCAAGGGTAAACGTGTCTTCGCCTCCTTTACTGAAGGACCCTGTGCTAAATGCCATTGGGAAGAAATACAACAAGACAGCAGCACAAGTTGCTTTGCGCTTCTCCGTCCAGCGAGGAGTGGTGGTCATTCCCAAAAGCTTCCATCCAGAGAGGATCAAAGAGAATTTCCAGGTAAACATTTAAAGATAGAGGGAGAAAAAGAATTCTCTTTATGCCATGCTAAGGCCTACCAGGCCTGTAAACCTTGGGTATGTCAAAACACTTCCTACCAGCAAGCAAAAGAGCAATAGAGCCGAACACGAATATGGACAGGACACCAGGGTCTCCATGGCAGGTCAAAAGAAGGATGACAACCATCTTTACTCAAATATAATATGACCCCCTGACCAATAATTAGATTATATATAATAATTATATATAATTAATAATTATTATATATATGGAAACTCTATACATTTGTTATAATTATATATAATTAATAATAATTATATATATGGAAACTCTATACATTTGTTATAATTTTCCAGGTATACAATCTAATTATGGGTGGGGTCGCCTTGAATTTGTCCTCCTCCCACTGCTACAGCAGCAAAAATAAATGGGGGGGGGGGGGGGGGGGGCGCAGGCAGCCCTCTTGCCCTCTGCCACCACAACTTTTTCCCCCTGCAGCCCCTTCCCCTCCATCTTTATTGTCAGACCCTGCTTTCCTGGGCAAATTATAACAGATACCCATAGATTTAGTTGATTCAGAATTGATGCATTTTACCTTTTTTTAAATTGCTGCATGTTTTAGCACAGGTACTCCATAAATACATTTTTAAGCAGGACTTTTGTACCTACTTATGTATGGTACAGACTATGCATGATAATAGTCCAAAGGCAAAAGACTTATGATTTAACATATAGGTCACTGGGCTGGGCCCTATCAGAGTCAACAGCATTTCAAGCCATAGCTCAGTACTGCTTAGTATGTGTGTGTGCTCCAGGTACCCCACACGAAGGATCCAGGTGCTAATTACCTCCCCCACATACATGACTGGAACTGGGTGTTCTTGTCATGAGTCCTGGGATTCTCCAAAAATTTCTATGCAAATGAGGTACAGGGCAATCCGATCCAGCCTCGCCTCATACAGAGCAGTATTGGCACTGGATTTGTCACCCAGATACCTTGTTCCAGGGAGACCCAAACCCCCAGGCTGACCACAATTTCTCCATTTGATAATAGGCAATTTTTTTGATACACAGGCAAGGCAAACAATTCTATATCTACCAGTGATAGTGCTGTCACAGAGGGAAGGCACATCTGGCCAGTATGAGAACTTCACCCTATGGTTTTTTCTTGAATATTGGATGTGAGCAGTCTGGAGGTTGAGGGCTGAGGCCCACCTTGAAGCAAGTTGTCTAGAGCAAGGATCATCAACATTGGAGTGGGGGGCCACTGTAACAGGGCTTAGCTCCAAGCATGGGCTGCTTCCAACTGAGTTCTCACTGCAGCTACTATCGCTACTCCCAGTGCCACCACTGCCACTGGCTCTGTGGACCAGATAAAATGGCTCTGTGGGATGGACCGAGCCCACAAACCATAAGTTGTTGACCATTGGTTTAGAGGAGTTGGCAGGACTGCCATGTTGTCCTTATGAGTTACTGAGCTTGCCCAGCACTCTAGAAATCTGAGAAGTCCTCCCCAGAATTCAAGGGTGTCTTATAGCAGTGCAAGTGAGAGCAGATTCTTACATTATCTCTATGTTTCTGAACCTTGAAGTATTTTAATTTTGGGTTTCTCATTAAAAGAACGATTTCATCCTAATCTCTTCTTCACTAGATCTTTGACTTCTCCCTGACTGATGAAGACATGAAGGAAATTTTAGCTCTAAACAAAAATGTCCGCTATGTGGAGTTGCTAATGTAAGTCCAAGTAGAATTTGCACTTGATGTGCATAACTGAAAATGATTTACTTTTTACATAAGCCCTGACACGCCAACATTTCAGCACACACACCACTACCTTCTTTTTAGATCTTCTGTCAAGATGCCGAATGTATGTATGAATGTCAAAACGCTATATAGTATAGTAGGCAGCCATTGATCCTTCTGGATCATGGTGTGCATGTGAGAGGTCACCAGAATCTTTAATACATAGGCCTAGGCAGGAGCATGGAGGAGGAGTGGAGGCTGCCCAGACCTTCCATCCCTCTTTTATGTTATCAAGATAGAACCCAAAGGCCAGGCCAAGTCTGGATGCTCAGTGCCTGTGGTTAAATGTGCACCTGGTGGGAATCCAACCCAGGTTTCCTGTGTGGCAGACAAGGATTCTACCACTGAACCACGCCAGCTGGTTTATATAGCTCAGAACACCCTTACACTACAGTCCTAGAACACCCAGAGATTGTTTGCAAGATTTAAATTTGCAATATTTTTGTGTGTTTCGGAGTTTGGGTACACACACAGTACAAGTATACTTGTATCTCGTTTTTTGACCCAGGCCCATCTGTTCTCCAAAACAGCCTCCTCTTATATCATGGTATGGTGATTGTTTGGGTAAAGAGCACAGGACAGTTTACTTGGGAAGGGAGCTGCTCAGAAAGTATCGCAGGAATGGGTCAAATTCATAATCTTTCCATGGTGATATAATTTTTCCATTTAAATGGTGGTTTTTACTTAAAGCATCCCAAAATACTTTGCACTTCAGTCACAGATGCAATGTGTCATCACCTCTGAATTGGAAAACTAATGTTACTGTATGCAGTTAAGTCACTGTAAACAACAGGTTAGGACAAAAAGGAATTAAGAATTACTGCTTGAAACTTGGAATAAATATGTATAATCACTCAGACTAGCATCAGGCTGGAACATGAACATTTGCTAACCCTAGCCTTTGTCAGTTACAGTAAGGGGTAAGAAATTCGGTTGCTGTACCTCCTGTGAAATTGATTACTTTTAGTGCTCTCCAGCCCTGAGTCATACCTTCCTATGAGACAGAGCAGAAAGAATGTAGCTTGCTAAACCTCTAAAACCATGTCCTTTTGCTCCCCTCCAAGTGCTGACCATGCCTGAGCTTTTGTGGTCTGAAACTTAGCACCCAAAGTAGTATTACTGTAACTGTCAAGTTTCAGACAGACCCAATTCATAAGAAAGTAGGGTTGGAAGGGACCTCATGAGATCATCTAGTCCAACCCCCTGCTCAAGACAGGCCCTTTCATATCGACTAAACAAGTGTCTTTCTAGCCTGTTTGTGAAAACTTCCAGAAATGGAGATTCTGTAATTACTCTAGTTCTATTTTTTTAATCCCTCCCTCCTTTTTATTATCTTCTTGGATTAGCTCTTTGTCTCTTGATAAGAATGATGCCACAAAGATCAATACAGACTTTAGGACTGCAAGATCTATAGAACCTTCACAATGTTGAACAAGCTTAAGTCAGGAAAATAAAACTGACCAGTTATATAAACATTGCTATTACCAAGATATCATAAAAGGTAGGGCAGTGTGGCACTTTGCCTCATTCAAAGAGGTATGAGCTTTCATAGGCTGCACTTCCCTTTGCCATTCCATAAGCTATAGCTCACACCTCTAGGGAGTAAGATAGTCTATAAAGGTGCCCCACTGCGCTGCCTTCTGTCCAGTTCAGATAAACACAGAGGACTGCCTCTCTCTAAAACATGAAGGGAAAGATGAGGTAGATTAAAAAAGTGCCCTTTATGCAGTTCACCTTGCACTAAAATCTCAGCAATGTTCTTTACTCGTTGAGATACAAGTCACTGAATCTGGGGATAGCCACACAGTTGACTTGCAGGACATTTCTAATGAACTGTTCTCTCTCCACTTTTGTCCTGGAAATTCTTAAATGTAACCACTATTAGAAATTGTTTGCAACTGCTATTAAGTAAAAATCTTAGGTTGTAGATATTATTCAAGCTTTTAGTGAGAATCATCACGAAAAGTAAATCTTGGCTTAAATGCTTGACTATTTTTGATCAGTAAAGTTAGGGATGACCATGAAATATGCAATGCAATTAACATCTGGAAAAATCAAAACTGACAAAAGCAAGTATGTGTTTCTGTGTGTGTATAAATATATATTTCACAATGCAGAAATAATTTGAACATAATAATATGTTCCTAATAATAGGAACATTCGAGAAAAACTGAATATTTCTGACCACCATAATATTATTCATAAAATTACCAGATTTGTGGGGAAAGAGGCTAAACTTCAAGGTTGAATAATTGGAACAAAATGAGCCTAGCATAGAAAGGGTGGATTTACCTCATGTTCACCTGGTAAGATAGTTCTTACACCTTCCTGAAGCATCTGAAGGCGAGTCCCATTTCAGCCTACATATTGGACTAGTCCTGATCTCATCCAGTACTACAGTTCCCATGTGAAAATGTCAAACAAAAATTGAAAAGACAGGCCTTTTTGAGATCAACATTTTGTACAAGCATCTTCATTCTGTTGTCATAAGTAAACCCATAGTAATAAGATACTGTGCTAACTTGACTTTAATCAGAAATTTACAGGTATTTGGCAGCAAATCTAAACCCTATTCAAATAAATTTTTATCTTAAAAAAAACTTTGTTTTTCTGCTGGAAAATTGCAGTTTTTTAGCGTCATTCTGACATGAATGCAGGTCTGCCTGAGATATCTCAAGCTCCCATTCTCTTCCCATTCTATGCTATAGACCAGGCTTCCTGACTGGACTAAGTGTCAGATGATGTGCTGCTGTGTCAGTTTTGCTGTAAAGTTATCACATGACCCCAGAGCACCCTCAGAATTTGGCAGCTGCCTAAACTTCTTGCTTTTACTGGTAGGAATTGTTGGTCAGGCCAGCACTTATGGGTCATTATCCACTGTGTTCTGAGAAAAAAAATTTTTTTACATAGCCAGCAGGAAGACAGGGAGTGTAGTCTATCCTCCAGATTTTCTGAGACTAAAAAGGGAAACCTAGAAGATACTTGTGCTTACCTACTCTGCTGTTATGGGGGTTTTTTTTATAAAGATCCTGGACCTTTTTAACTTTCCTAGATATATACTGTTTGTAGTGGCCTTGACAGTCAAAATAGACTTGAAACTAATTGCAATCCCCCTTCATCTTAACTGGGTCACTTCAAAGTTTTCTTGCAGCCACGCCATTTGTCTCGCTATTAATTAAGCAGGGCTTCCACACCCAGGCTGAGTCACTGCAATTTAATTAAGACGGCCAGGTCTGCTTTGGATGCAGAAACCCCGTGGAAAAAAGGACAAAGCCAAGCCAGACCTGCCCATGCCAGTTCAAACATCATAAGCTGAAGAAATGTAGATTTTTTTTTAAACAACTGTTGTTTTTGACTCTTCCTCAAGTTTGACCAGTATTTAGATGCCAGCTGAGGGGCATTACAACCATCCATCAACCAAGCACTGAAAGAATATTTTCTGCATAAAACTGGAATAATACATATTTTTCCCTATTTTCTGCAAAATTCATAGAATTAGGCTCTCTTAACACAAGTACAACAACAAACTGCCAACCACAAGACAAGTAAGGCAATCTTCTGGGTAGCTTGCCCTCCCCTAATTTAGAGGGACCACCTGTAGCGGCAAAAAGGTTAGTTCACTTTTTCCATGTCTCCAGCTTGCCCACCAAACTGTTAGTGCCAATGTTGCCTTCTTTGGAATGAATACTGGCCCACAGTGAACTAAGCAGACATATACATGCTGTCCTGCAAATCATTTCATACAAGTCAGCGAAGAGCATGTGATAACTTCCCATTTGTCAGCTTCAAATTTTAAGGTCTCCATTACTGCATTAACCATCTTTTTTTCTTAAGCCTGTTTGTTTGCTCCTAGTAACACTACATACTCCATTAGTGCCCAGGTGACTGCAACCAGATCTGTACAAGTCATTATGTAGCTGCAGCAAATTATGTTTAATATTAATAATATTTTTATATTAGTATTTTGCTTCACCTTGTATCTTTTCTCTTTTTCTTCTTTTATCTGAAATCTCACTGCAGGTGGCAGGACCACCCAGAGTATCCCTTCCATGACGAATACTGAGAATAAAGCATACCCAAAGGCATTCTCTCAACTCAGTAGTGGGGATTTGTTCAAACTTACCTAGTATAAAATGTGGAGCTTTCATTGCAAGGGGAGACTTTTCAGATAATATGAATTAAAGCATGAATTGTATTACCTCTACCTTGTCTCTTTAAACTTTGTTTCTAATTACTAAAAGATAGTTACATTTAAACTACTAATGTGTCCAAACCTTTTCAGCTAAATATCCCATTCCTTGAGAATATGAAGTCTCTAAAAATAAAATGGAGTTCTCGATTTATATATCTTGAATGGCAGTTTAGGCCTCCTAGATCAAAATGTTTGCTTTATGGTAGACCATTTTCATTTGGCTTTGGAGTCATAGATTTGGGCTTGTGGCATTGGAATAAGTTCTGTCCCAACAAAGTACTGTGAAAGTAGTAATGCTATGTTTAACAATCAGGATTTAGTGCAAGATGATTAGTGGATGCAGAATTTACTTCAAAAAACTCTTTTTTTCTTTTAAGAAAAAAGCTTCAGATAAATAAAGTAAGTTTCTTATGTGCATATGCATTCTCTTCTGCTTTATTCCAGTGAGGAAAAACCCTCACTTTTGAAGACTGAAAGTCTCACTCCTTACCTCAAGCTAAGAACATGCCTCTCAAGAGGATAGCCAGTCACTTCAAAGTCCTGAAAAACCTCTCAAATATTTGTAGCATCTTGACAGATACAAATTCCTAACCCAGATTTCCTGCTACCCAGATTCCCTACTGAAGGATACATGAATTTTAAAGGGGTGTTTGTTTTGTTTGTCATTTTATACTGTACTTCCCTGTGAGAGTGTGGAAGATCTGTAATTACAGCAAATAGATTACACAAAAAGAAATAGAAACAGATGGACTGAAAAAAATCTGGTTGTATATCGATAAGGCCCTTAGTAGAAAAAGTTCCTATTATCTCAATTTTTGAAAATTGATTGTAGAATAGTGGCCTGAGTAAGAGGATTCCCCAGTCCTTTCAGTGTGGATTTTTGTTTCCATAGTCAGTTCAGTTAGGAAAAATGCAGGCCACCTCAGCTCCACATGCATGTAAAAGGAAAAGTTTTCTTTAGGTAGCACAGAAAATTTAGGTTGAGGGGGGAAATAAATTTAAATTAAAAAAAAAAAGCAATGAAAATAAGAATCTATAGATTTCCACAGGAAAATGCTTTGACTTTAATATGCAAGATGTATATTGTATATGCATAGGGCTGCTAATCCCTTTTTGTGTGGATTAGAGAAGCAGTGACAAACTCTCTGTGTAGAAACAGTTCAGAAATAGAGACCCTGTGCCACAAGCAGTGCTCAAGCCAGATTTAGCAGGATTCTGTTTTTTGCATTTTGGAAGAGACTTCAAATTCGCTGTGAGGTGCTAAGGGGTTTTAGCATTCTCTGAAATCCTGGTGATGAGGGCTGTCTAATAAATGTTTCATCTGACCTCGTTCTCACTAAATCATCATTCTTAAAAATCAATCTGAATGCAGATGATGTTTGAAATTCAAATCTTCCATGGATTGAGAGCTGGTAAAAAGATGGGAAGGAAAGGGTAGAGCTAAATAGTCACTTTTCAGGATGGAAGAAGGTAAAAAGTGGGGTTGCCCAGCAATCAGTATAGGTTCAACATTTTCATCAATGATCTGGAAATGGAGGTGGCTCAGTGAAATCTCCAGGTTTTCAAATTATACCAAACTATTCCAGGTAGTCAAGATAGTTCTCAAAAAAGTGTCAGCTCAATGTACAGTGGCAATCAAAGATGTTTGGCACCACCAAGAGGAAAATTGAAAACAAGACTGAGAAAATCATCATGCTATTATACAAACAGCACCCACATCTCGAGTGCTGTGTGCAGGTCTGGTCTCTGCATCTTTAGAAGACTAGTAGAGTTGGAGAAAGTACAGAGAAAGGCAACCAAAATGATCAGGGGTATGGAGCAGTTACCGTACCAGAAGAGACAGGTTTAAAACAAACAAAAGAAAGTACATTTTTATGCAACACCCAGGGCATGTCTACATGTGCAAATAAGTACAACTAAATTTAATGAGCACTGAGTTTTGACAAGTGTCTACACATGCAGAGACCTGGGACTGAAGTTAGTGCACTTGGCACTAAAGTTAGTCCCAAGTCCCTTTAGCCTTGCCATGTGCTCCTGTGGCCACCAAGGGGAGCTCCAGCCACAACACTGCCAGCACTTGGCAGTCATGTTGAAGCCAGACCCAGCTGCCAGCACCTGGCAGCCATCATAGTTTCATAGATGCTAGGGTAGGAAGGGACCTATTAGATCACAGAGTCTGCCCCACTACCCTGGGCAGGAATGAGTACGGGGGTCAGATGACCCCAGCCAGGTGTCTGTCCAATCTCCTTTTAAACACCTCCAAGGAAGGGGACAGCACCACTTCTGTTGGAAGCTTATTCCATATTTTGACAACCCTCACTGTAAAGAATTTTTTTCTGATGTCCAATCTGAATTTGCTCTCTTCCAGTTTGTGGCCATATTTCTAGTTACCCCAACAGGCACCCTGGTAAACATTGTATCCCCTATTTCTTGCTCCCCCCCCCAATGAGTTTATAGGCGGCCATGAGATCACCTTGTGGAGGCTGAAAAGGTTCAGGTCTCCCAATCGGCCCACATAGGGTTTTTTTCTGTAGGCCTTTAACCAGATGAGTGGCCCTCCTCTGAACCCTCTCCAGGCCATCCACATCCCTCTCGAAGTGCAGTGCCCAAGACTGGATGCAGTACTCCAGCTGCAGCCTGACCAATGCTGCACAGAGGGGAAGTATCACCTCCCTGGACCTGTTTGTGATGCACCTACTTATGCAAGAAAGGGTGAGGTTAGCTTTACTTATTACCTCATCACACTGGTGACTCATTCATTTTGGAGTTGACTACAACTCCGCGATCACTTTCTGCAGTTGTGCTGCTTAGAGTGGTACCTCCCAGGCTATAGGAGTGCTGATGATTCTTCCTCCCCAGGTGCAACACATGACACTTATCCTTGTTCAACTGCATCCTGTTCTGTTCCACCCACTTCCCCAGCCTGTCCAAATCAGCCTGGATTTGCTCCCTGCCGTCTACTTTGTGTACCTCCTCCCATAGTTTTGTGCCATCGGCAAACTTGGACAGGGTGCTTTCTACTCCTGCATCCAAGTCACTAATGAAGATATTGAATAGTACTGGTCCCAGGACAGAGTCTTGGGGGACTCCAATGCCCACATTTCTCCAGTAGAAACCGATCCATCCACCACCACTCTCTGGGCACGTCTCATAAGCCAATTTCCTACCCACCAGAATGTGTGATAATCTACATTGCAACTGTTTAGTTTATTTATAAAAACTGGGTGTGACACTATGTCAAAGGCCTTTTTAAAATCTAAGTAAATAACATCTACCTCTATTCCTTCATCCAAGCATTTTGTGACCCAGTCGTAAAATGAAACCAGGTTAGTCAGGCAGGATCTGCCTGCTATGAACCCATGCTGATTGTCCCTTAGCATCATTTTACCCACTGATCTCTCACAAATGTGATCCTTAACAATTTTCTCAAAGGTCTTGCCAAGGATAGAGATGAGACTAACCAGCCTATAGTTATCCAGTTCCTCCTTCCTCCCCTTCTTGAAAATAGGGAACACACTGGCCCTTTTCCAATCCTCTGGGACCTGTCCTGAGCACCACAAGTGCTCAAACAGTTGTGCCAGCAGCTTTGCTATGACTCTAGCTAATTCCCTAAGTACCCTAGGATGAAGATCATCAAGACCTGTTGACTTAAATACATTCAACCCCGCCAGGTACCCCTTTAAGTCAGCTCAAACAGTTGGTGGGTTGGTATCTATACTGGTCTTACCTAAGGTCCCAATGGGATGCATATTTGTATTCATGTCCAGGAACACGGATGCAAAGAAATCATTAGGATGGCTGAGGCAGACCTTCTAATCTGTTACCAGTTGCCCTAGTCCATCCTCAAGGGGCCCTAAGTTACCCTGCACCTTCCTTTTCCTTCCAGTGTACTTAAAGAATGACTTTTTGTTATCCTTAACTTTTGCTGCTAGTCTAAGCTCCATTACTGCTTTGGCTCTCCTCACTGTTTCCCTGCAAGCTTGAGCCAAGCAGGTATACTCCTCCTTGGTGACAGCCCCCTGATTCTACAGACTGTAGGCCTCT